TAAAGGAGTCGTACCACACCCTTTACAATCAAGCGATTGTACTACGAAACTATAACGTAAGTCAATATTTTCAAAATTTAAAAGATATTTTAGATAAACTAAATTTAAAACATGAATTCGATAGGATAAAGCCTATAGAATTTTCTCCAATTAACAACGAAAGTTTAATTCTAAAAACATTTTTAAATGGGATACACCCCAACTTAAGCAGTGTAGTGATTAGTAGAAATATAAGCACTATTAGAGAGGCTTTTAGCGTTCTTCAAGAGACAGGTTTGCTAATACAATTTGATAAAAGACAAAACAATTATCAAAGAAAAAATTATAGAAATTTTTCAAATAGAAATTCTTTGGCTCACAATTTTGGCAATTTCAATAATAAACAGTACATGCAAAATTCCAATAATTTTCAATTTGGACAAAATCAGCAGAGAGAATTTCGTAACAATTCTAACAAAAATGACAATTATCAACAATTTAACTTTGGACAAGTAGACAAATAATTCTGAGCAATTTAGCTTTGAACAAATAGGCAAAAAATTCTCACAATCTAGAAGATATAATTCATCCAAAGGAGACAAAACCCCCGAACGATGGAAATAGATCACGTTCAAGAACAAGCAAATTTTCGGTTGCCAGCCCAAAACAATCGTTACCGATAATAGAAGTGACCATAAAATTCAAAATTAAATGTCTTATTGACACAGGGTCTACAACATCATTATTGAAATATTAATGTGTTAAAAGATTATGAATGCATTGAGCTTGATAAACCAATACACTTAGCACCATTAAGGAAATTTTCCCTAAATAAAGAGTTGTCACCCAACCCCAAACGAATTAATGAAAAAGTTATATACCTAATGAACTAACCAACTAAAAAATAATAACTTTGATGCTATAATAGGGACAGAATATTTTAAAACCTATTAAAGCAATAATTAATTTAGAAAAGGAGTATGTAGAAATAAACGGCAACAAAATTAAATTTAAAAACTCATGCCCTTACAATTACGAAGATATTAATATACATACAGAATGTAAAGAGAATTTGCTAGATATTTTATCAAATAGTGACATGAATGAAGAGAAAGCAAAAATTGAAATACATTCTAAAAGCAAATAGCGATTATTTTTTCCAAGAAGGTAAACCTTTCTTATACTCATGAAATTCAGCATGAAATTGTTACAAAACAGTAGACAAACTTATAATAAAATTTATAGATATCCCAAATTCATGAAGAAGAAATTAGTAGACAGATGAACGAGATGTTGCGCCAAGGTATAATTAAGAAAGTAATTCCTCGTACAACTCGCCTCTTTGGATTGTACCGAAAAGCAAGACAATTCAATGAAGAAAAATGGAGAATAGTTATTGACTACAGGAAGCTAACGAGTCACTATAGATGACAAATTTCCAATACCCATATAGAAACAATACTCAACAAACTTGGAAGAGCTCAGTATTTTACAACATTAGATCTTGCAAAAGGCTTTCATCAAGTATTAATAAAGAAGAAGATAGCCAAAAACAGCTTTCTTTACACCCCAAGGACACTTTGAATTAATAAGATTCAGGTAGATAAATGCAAATTTTTCGGAAAACAACTGAATTTCTAGGTCACACTTTAAACACAGAAGGAATACAAACCTATTAAGCAAAATCGAAAACATATAAAAACTAAAGTTGCCTACTACATCAAAGCAAATTAAATCATTTATAGTATAACAGGTTATTATAGAAAATTTGTAAGAGATTACGCTAAATAGACATGGTTTAACAAAATATTAAAAAAGGATATTAAAATAAACTCGCGATCCTCAGTACATATCATCCTTTGAAAAACTTAAAATCTATTAGTAAGCCCACCAATATTGAAATATCAGACTTTAACAAAAATTTGGCATTTCAACTGATGCAAGTGACTTTGCAATTGGCGCAGTATTAACCCAGGACAGTCATCCTATAAGCTATGCTAGTCGAACACTTAACAAACACGAAGGAAATTATTCCACTACAGAAAAAGAACTACTGGCTATTGTCTGGGGGTGACTATTATAGACCATATTTACGGCAGAGCAATTGATCTCTTAACCGATCACCAACCACTTAAGTGGCTCCAAATAAAAGGAAAAGACATTAACCCAAGATTGCAAAGATGGTTAATTAAACTAGGTGAATACAATATTAATATAAATTACGTGAAAGGAAAGAAAATAACGTAGCCGATTTTCTAAGTAGAATAGATAGTAACACAGGCGAGATTCATTCATTGAAGAAGACAACATAAGCACAAATGCTACAATCCACTCTCAAGAGGAGGAACTAAACTGATCATTTCCAATTTACATACTATTGTAAATCGCTTCAATACACAAATCATTTTAACAAAAAGAAAATTATGGAATCTGAAGAACTAGGCAACATTTTATTAGCGCAGAAGATATAAAAAATATAATTTCATAGATCTTTGTCGTAGGCTCATAAATAGTGGAAAGTAGGTATTTTTTATTTAACCGATAATCAGTACAATATAGTTCAGCAAAGCTTATCAAATATTTAATAGACAGGTAAAGTTTTTAGATGGAATTCATGCTAAAGATATGAAAAATGAAAGAACAAGTTTATAAACAAAATTGCTCAATATCATTAAAATGAAACAGGCCATGCAGGTATTAATGAAAATTATGAAAATTGAAAAACTAATATACTGGAAAATTTGAAGTTTTGATTCAAAATATATAAATAATTGCGATGTTTGCAATAGAGCAAAATATAATAGAAAACCTTTAAAACCAAAATTTCAATTAACGAAAACACCATCAGATATAAATGAAATAGTTCGCAGATATATAATAATTAATAAAATGTTACTTCCTTACTTTTATAGACAAAATTGCGAAATTTGCTATGGCATTTCAGCTAGAAGATAGAACAGTATAACTATTATAGAAAGCTCAGATTATTCTTTTCTATCAAAGGAAGACCCAGAAAGTTAATATTAGATAATGAATTCAACTCAATTAACTAAAAGAAATAGAAGTTCATTTTACAAAACCAAACAGTCATACGGGAATTAGATATCGAAGATTTCATAGTCTCTCTCCGAAGATTAGAGTCCTAGAAATTGAAAAACCAGCTTTCGACAGCGGAAAAGTATTTCAAAGCATAGAATGGTATAAAATCTTATCATTACAATTAAAACCAACCTCTTGAGGTCATAAATGGAAAACTGATAAAATTTGATCAAAGACACTATTCAGAGACTAAGAAAATGCATAGGAAAACTAAATAGAAATAGAAGAGTTTAATAACACTCAAAAGAAGGTTACGTAAAAAATTATAAAGCGGTTCAGCACAAATACGAACCAAGGTATAGAAAATTGCCATTAGATAAATATTCACCGACAAATATTAAACGTCCAAACAAATTTTTAGGTCAAATACATCTTCAAATAACATTGATGATAGCAATTGTAATAATTAGTAATGCAGCCAAACTGGAAGTACATCAAATACATACCGACAATGGATACGCAGAAATTATCACCAACACTAAACAGATTGTTACATCATCTGACCTCGTAATTCACATAATTGACCCTCGGAAATTCTTTACATACTAAGTAATATAACAAAACTCGCAAACATATTCACATCTACATTACTACACCCTATCTAATGAAATTGAAATCTTGAGAGGTAAAATCAAAACATTAATCCCAAGAAAGAAGTTAGTAGAAACAAGTAAGGAAGAGCTAAGTTCGGATGTAACCACATTTTATACTCTCGCAAGTCAAATGTATACTCGTTTGAGATTTCTTTGTGGATTGATGATATTTTCGGTAGAAGGTCAACTATAGGCACTGGGGTCCACATATTTATTACTTAGGGGTTAAACAGTTTTGGTTCGATTTAGACAATTTTGGCAAAGGTGGCATACTTTAATCGCATTATTCACGCAAAGTTTTATCCCGATACAGTCATTGTTCCTGATTTGCATAGTGGAAGTGAAAGAATCAGATGGAACTTGAAATGGTGTTACATGGAGAGTAGGCGTGGTTGTAGTCATTTCGCCATTTCGCTATGACATAGAAACATGAAAAGAACGTTATGCACCGAATTTGGTTAAATCGGTTAGCAATCTCAAGATATGGTTTTCACCTAAAAGTGGGCATGTGCCACGCCACTGTCTAATTTTGAAACGCGGTTCCTTAAAGTCATCTATACCATCCCAGAGTAAAATTTAATGTCTCTGGCGTGTTTAGTGCTTGATTTATCGCGCTTTTAGTAGTTTTAACGTACCGTTATATGGGAGTGGGCGGAGTTGCCCCGATTTCAACTATCTCACACCGTCAATGAAGTGCTTAAACATTTGCTTCAGTGAATTTTATTATTATAGCATTAGCGGTTTAGGAGATCATGCAAACATGTAAAATACCTAATTAAAGA